GAAGATGTTTACAGGCGTCTGAATATGTTTACATGTCTGATGTCTACCTGTGTCTGAAGATGTCTACATGTGTCTGAAGATGTCTACATGTGTCTGAAGATGTTTACATGTGTCTGAAGATGTTTACAGGCGTCTGAATATGTTTACGTCTGATGTCTACATGTGTCTGAAGATGTCTACCTGTGTCTGAAGATGTCTACATGTGTCTGAAGATGTTTACAGGCGTCTGAACGCAATTGATTAAATTTTCCCAATGAGAAGACAGGACGAAGGAGAGCCCACCTGCTCCGACGGGACACTTGCAGCCAGACACATGATGGACTCCAGGAGAAGATCGTGTGTCTGTCCATACTGTCGGTCTAAGACGCCTAACATTTGTATAGAATTGGATTCATGATAACAGGATTTCTGCTTTTAGGAGTTGGTGGTTACCTGGCACATTGACAAATTCGGACACCGTCGGCAGCTGTTCTGGCCATTGTAAAGTTGCGTGGCGTACTAGCCAGACTGTAAAGGCAGATGGAAATTAAAAGTGCTCGGCTTGACCTAAAACAACTGTTGCCATCTGAATCTGGCTCCCCTGTGTCGGCCTGTGAGGGTTGACGCTCCCAAATTCTGGATGTTATGTGAACAAGATGCTCTACTCCCCCTCCCCTACCCGCTTCCTTCCCCAAGGACATCTGCAGACCTGTCAGAGCTCTACCGAGCCGGCTGATGAGCACCTATCAGGGCTGGGGGAGGGGGCTAGGGTTTTTTTCCCTTTTCCTCATCTCAAGGAAAAGGGCGGCACTTCCCGCAAGGCTGCAGCCTCAGGCTTCCCCATCTACCCATGTTTGTTTTCTTGTTCTCTTTGGGCGGCTGTCTGAAATGTAATTTTGTTGTGCTTCTGTGCAATGACAATAAAGGTTGATTCTCAAGATTGTCAAAAATATCTTCATCCAAACCATCCACATGCCTGCTAGATCCCATCCCAACCAGACTGTTTAAAGATGCATCTCCCTTAATTAATAATCATGTCTTGGATCTACTTAATTTGTCTTTAATGGATGGTTATGTACCACAGAGCTTTAAGGGTGCTGTAATTAAACATTTACTTAAGAAGTCCGATCTTGATTCAGAAATTCTGGCCAACTATAGATCTATATCTAATCTAACTTTCATCTCAAAAATTCTAGAGAAAATAGCTGCAGGTCAGTTGTGTGAACATCTACAAAGAAATAATCTGTTTGAAGAGTTTCAGTCAGGGTTTAGAGCTCATCATAGCACAGAAACAGCACTAGTAAAAGTAACTAATGATATTCTCATGGCCTCAGACAATGGACTTGTGTCTCTACTGGTCCTGTTAGACCTCAGTGCTGCATTTGATACAGTTGATCACAATATTTTACTGCAGAGGCTTGAATATGATGTTGGAATTACAGGAACAGCTCTAAAATGGTTTAAATCATATCTATCTGATAGATTCCAGTTTGTAAATGTAAATGGTAAATCTTCATACACCAAAGTTAGTCATGGAGTTCCTCAGGGTTCAATTCTTGGACCAATACTCTTTACTTTATATATGCTTCCATCAGGTAAAGTTATTAAACAGCATGGGATAAATTTTCATTGTTTTGCTGATGACACACAATTATATTTGTCCATTAAACCCAATGAATCCAATCAGCTACTTAGACTACAAGCATGTCTTAAAGACATAAAAACCTGGATTACCCTTAGGGCGCATTCACACCAGCCCTGTTTAGTCGCTTTAATCCAACTACAGCTCGTTTTCCTAGAAAGTCCGGTTCGTTTAGGGAGGTGTGAACGCACCATTGAACTCTGGCCCGGGCTAAAACCTAGGTCTGGGTCCGGTAGAAGAGAACTCCAGTGGTTCCAGTACAGTGTGAATGTAATCAGACCGAGCCCCGCTCCACAGGACAAGCAAACACACATTTCTCTCATATGGAGCCGTCAGCCACCTTGTGTGAAGAACAATATTCTCCATGGTCTTCTGTCTCATCTTCTGCTCATGCTGAGTCCATTTTTGAAAATGACAAAATATAACTCCTAAAACTGCTAAAATTTGATGCCACTTTGTTTTTGTTTTTATTTCCAGAAGAAGAAGAAGACGTGTCTTCAGAGGTTTTTGTGTCGTTTCTCTCAGTAGTTCTTGGTGCAGCGCCCCCACAGGTGAGGGGGGAACAGGTTGGTTCAACAGGTTGGTTCAACAGGTTGCTTCAACAGGTTGGTTCAACAAGTTGCTTCAACAGGTTGACTCGACTGCACAGTGCAGTGTGAATGCAAACACACCAGCTCAAATGTAACAAAAGGTCATGAATATTGGTCCAGAACCGAGTCTACCGGACTATCTGGTGTGAAAACGACCTGAATTTTCTCCTGTTGAACACAGACAAGACTGAGGTTTGCTGCTATAGACTTAAACTACTGGAGGAGAAATTGACCTCATTTACCCAAGTGAATTGTTAAAATTGAATAGTTTTCATTTGATACTATTTCTATCTTAACATGTGATTCTTGACCTGCCATTGTGTATCTGTTCCTACCAAACCCAGCTGGTCGAAGCAGATGGTCCTCTAGTCCTGATCCTGGTTCTGCTAAAGGTTTCTTCCTCATGAGGGAGTTTTTCTTTCCACTGTCGCCTTCATGCTTGTTCAAGATGAGAGTTCAGTGATGGAGTTAAACTCAAAGCTGCTCCTCAGATAAATAATGTTCAATTATTATTTCATACATGAATGTTTCTGTTCAATTATTATTTTATACATGAATGTTTCTGTTAAATTATTATTTTATAGATGAATGTTTCTGTTCAATTATTATTTTATAGATGAATGTTTCTGTTCAATTATTATTTTATACATGAATGTTTCTGTTCAGCCCTGAGATGATTCTGTTGTGACCTGGTGTTATTGAAATAAACTGAACTGAAGTGAATTGAAAACGTTTGCAGGTGTATCTGAAAAATGTTGATGAAACACATGTGAAGTAACAGTTAAACATTATAAATATTTAAAGATAAAAAACTTCATCTGAATGATTTTTATATTTTTGTACTGGGGACAACACAGAGCTCCAATACAAGGTTGAAGACCACGAGGAGGGAAACGTGTCAGGAGACAGAGGAGAAGAGGAAAGTGAAGAATGTAGGACTGAGGGTTGAAGCTCTAAATGTGGGGACAATGACAGGCAAAGGTAGAGAGCTGGCTGACATGATGCTGAGAAGGAAGGTAGATGTTTTATGTGTCCAAGAGACCAAGTGGAAGGGCAGCAAGGCTCGCAGCATTGGAGCAGGGTTCAAACTATTTCACCATGGTGTGGATAGAAAGAGACATGGAGTAGAGGTGGTCCTGAAGGAGGAGTTGGTAAAGAATGTAGTAGAGGTGAAGCAGCTGTGCTCAGACCGAGCGCCTGTAACGTTTACTACAGACAGAGGCTGGTCTGAGCTCTGTGTGTGTGTGTGTGTGTGTGTGCGTGTGTGTGTGTTGGCAGGGCAGACGCTACATTTCTGGTAACAGTTCTCACATTTGTTTTTAAATACAAAAAGGGGCGGGGCCATTTGAAGTAGAAGGAAGGGAGAAGTGGTTCAGTTCTGTAAACATGGTGAGGTTCTGGAGTTCTGACCCAGTTTCCTCATAATTAGTAGAACTGCAAGAATTGAAAAATATCAGGAGACCTCTTAAACCGGCCCGGCCTGTGAGGGACACAGACTGGTTCTGGATCCTTTGACCCGTATCAGCTGGTTCTGAGTCCCAGTGTAAATGGGTTCCTTCTGGTCTGTGATGGAACGTCTGCATGTTCTTCACAGGCAAAGTAATTGGTGCTGCAGGAACCAGTTCCAGATGCTCTGGAAGTCCTGGTCCCTGAGCAGCTACAGAAGCCTTGCAGGTCCAGTTTCAGTGGTTCCGTGAGCTGAAGAAGCCCACGCTGGTGGGAGACTCCTTCACCGTCACCGTGATGAAGTTCGCCGTGACGTCCGTGACGAAGACGTGCTCCAGGAGGCTCCGGGCCGGCCTCCAGTCCGTCTCCGTGTCCGAGGCGCTGGTTCCGAGGCTCGGCCTGCTGTTGTCGGGGAACATGGCGGCGTCGTGTTCCGACCCGCTGCTGCTGGTCTCGTCAGAGTCTCCGGTGCTGAGCTCGTTCAGGCTGCGGTTCTGAGCGCTCGGCCCGCGGCGCCGCTCCTCCTGTCTGCTTCCTGCCTCCCTGCCCCGCCCAGGTTCTGCGGCGCCGCCCGCCATCAGAGTACAGCGCTGCCCCCCAGCTGCTGGTCTTTTTCCGGTGCCGGCGCCCCGCGGGCCCAGGTTCCCCCCCAGGCTGCTGCCGACGCTCTGCAGGTTCAGGGCCCGGAGACTCAGCGCCTTGCTGGCCCGGTCCCGAGCAGTCGGGGAGGACGCAGACCGTTTGGAGAAAGTGGAGTTCTGCGGACATCCTGGACCTTCCTGCCTCCTCTGACCCAGCTGGGGGCGCTGCGGCGCCGTCGGACCTCCCCCAAAGCTGCTGTGGAGCCCGAGCGGAGCCACGGTGCCGCCCGGTCTCAGATGACAAGCTTTAAAGCCACTTCCTGTTTCTGAAACGGAGCGCCTGAGCTCAGAGTTCTTCTGGGACGGACCGGTCTTGTGAGAGGACGAGGAGGCGGACAGGGACCGGCCGGTCCACATGCAGCTCAGGGCTCCGGGTTTGGAGGCGGAGCTCTGACAGAAGGAGCTGTGGGAGGAGGAGGTCCCCTGGTCTCTGGAGGTCCGGTTCAGCCCGGCGTAGGTGAAGCTGGCCGGCTGCAGCGGCTTCTTGACACCGGGCCGCGGCTCCTCTCTGAGCGATCTGATTGGCTGATGGTGGCGAGGAGGAGGAGGAGGAGGAGGAAGAGGAGGACGCAGAGCCTTCAGGTCCGGGTGAAGCGGCTTCCTCCCTCGCTTCTTCTTCCGGGGCGGGTCGGGTTTGGCCACCAGAATCTGGGGCCTCTTCTGGGGTACCGGGTGAAGACGAGGGCCTGGCTTGGCCTTCTTCACGTGTTCTTCATCGTACTCCTCCTCCTCCTCCCCCTCCTCCTCAGAGGAAGAGGGGGAGGGGGAGGAGGAGAGGCCGGAGGACGAGGAGGAGCGGCCGTCTTTCATGACCGAAGGCGGCAGCTGAGGAGAGAAGAGGAGCGATGAGACCTGACCAGAACCACCAGAACGGATCAGACGGGTTCTGTTTACCAGAATCTTTCTGGGCCGTCCTCGCGGGCGTTTGCCTTTCTTCTGAAACAGAAGCTCCCGCTCCTGTTCCCTGAAAACAAACAAACAAACAAACAAACAACCCGGCTCATTGATCCTGTCAACACATCAAATGTTCCATGAGTCCCCACAACAATCAGCTGTGATGACGTCATCAGATTATGGTAAATGGACAGTGCCTACACAGCTCCTTTGTCTTATTTCAAGACACTCGGAGCTCTTTACAACAATCTGTGCCTCATTCATGCAGCTCTATACTAGATCTCTACAAAGATGAACTAATCATCCTAAAGAGACTCAGAGCTTCATCACGTTCAGACACTGATGAGGGTTCAGTGTCTTGCCCAGGGACACTTCAGCATGTGACTGCTGCTGGATTCAAACCCCCAACTCTCACATTGAAGGACGACTGCTCTAACCACTGAGCCACAGCTGCCTCTAATTTTTAGAAATACTTAGAAATTTATTTTGAAATAAAATCATTTCATTTGAAGAGAAACGTCAAACCATCTTCTTGGACCCCTGGTCCTGTCACATGATTCAAACATGTCACTAGAGCCTGATTTATGTTTGGACACTTTGTCCTGTTCAGCTCTGAACTGTCAAAAATAATAACCTCATCCAAACCATCCACATGCCTGCTAGATCCCATCCAGACTGGTTAAAGAGGTATTTCCACTAATTAATGTCCACATTTTGGATCTACTTCATTTGTCTTTAATGGATGGTTGTGTACCACAGAGCTTTAAGTTGCTGTAATTAAACCTTTACTGAAGAAGTCTGATCTGGACTCAAGAATCCTAGCCAGTTATAGATCTACAGTAGCCCCTCGCTACTTTGTGGTTCGTTATCAGAGTTTTCAAAATAAGAGTGGACGTGACACACAACTGGCTGATTGATGGATGAGCTGCACGATCAGCATGGATTGTTTATTTAAAGTAAATTATTTAGCACCTGCTGCACCTCTACAAACTACACTGCAGGAGAAACTTCCTGCTGCAGCTGATCAGCTGTTCACCGTGCAGAAGTGGGCGTGGCCAAGAGCCTTGCAGGTGGCAAAGAGCAGACGAGGCAGAGAACTGAAATCATGACGTTCTGTCTCTTTTTAGAGAATTTAGAAACATTGTCACACCATCTTAGCACCAACATAACTGGTTTGTTCCACTTTGGAGTAAGCTGTTGGGGGAAGAATCAGTTTTGTGTTGTGTGTTTCCTTGACTGATGAAGTCTTCTGGATGGAAGGTGAAACGTTTCAGCAAAAAAAAAGAAACTGTCCAGATGACCTGACTGAAAATTGTTGGATTGTAAACCTGGATTATTGAACATGGACCACTTTGATCTCTCTTTTAAGCTCCAAGCGGAAAACTTGGTAAAGAAACTGGAAGTTAAACTGGGTTTCTTTTTCAGAAACAGATCCTGTCTAACTCTGAACCCTGAGGAACACCTTGTATCTGTGACTTTCCTTCCCTCCATTGATTACGGTGACATTATTTACATGAACACTCCTACAAGAACCCTGCAGATGTTGGATGCTGCAGATGTTGGATGCTGCAGATGTTGGATGCTGCAGATGTTGGATGCTGTCTATCATGGTGCACTAAGATTCATAACTGGCTGTAACTACCGTACCCACCACTGCACCCAGTATTCACTGGTTAACTGGTCTCCATTAACTTCACGCAGACTCTCCCACTGGTACATTTTCATCTTTAAATCACTTCCTGGTCTGCTGCCTTCATACATCTCCTCCTACATGTCTCTGTGTGAGTGCAGCTACAGCGTGCGCTCTCAGGACATCATTACCTGCAGTGTTCCCTCAGTGAGGACTGAACTAGACAAAAGGACCTTCTCCTACTCCGCTCCTGTTTCCTGGAACATCTTGTAAAAACATCTGAAGCTCTCGACCTTTGACCTCTCTAAGTGGCTTCAGACATCTGTCAAGTTCCTGCAGATGTTCCTGTTTGTAGTTTTCTACATTCACCTTATAATCTAGATGTTTTTGTTACATTTTCTTTTGAACACCATTTCATTTTCACCTGTTAATCTCAATCTGTGCGCCTCTTTCATGACTGTCCTGACTCTGTGAAACCAGTTCTCTGTTGTAAAAGAGTCCTGGAGGCTCAATGGGACCAGTGTCATTTCAATGAAAAGATTCTTTCAGTTCATGAACACCTTGGACCAAATACCGCCCCCAGCATCGATGTTGAACTCCCCCCTCACTCCCTCCCTCCCTCCGTCCCTCCCTCCCCTTCTCTGTCTTCTCCCTCCCCTCTGCTGATGACATTGCTGACATTATCAGCAAGTCTTAAGTCCTCATCCTGTCGGCTCAATCCATTTCCCACAGTTCTTGTTAAATCCTGTCTCCCCATCATCACTAACATCATCCACTCCTCCCTAACCTCTGGCGTTGTTCCCACAGCTTTCAAATCTGCGACCATCACCCCCATCATCAAGAAACCAGGTCTTGACTTTACCAACTTCAGTAATCTTCGTCCAATCTCTAATCTGCCCTTTATTTCCAAAGTTCTTGAAAAAGCCATTGCTAGTCAACTTCACTCTCACCTATCCAACAATAACATTTATGAAGAGTTTCAATCGGTTTTCGCCCCCACCATAGCACCGAAACAGCTCTAATAAAAATAACTAACAACCTTCTTCTTGCTGCTGACTCTGCTCTTCTGTCTATTCTCATTTTACTGGATCTAAGTTCTGCCTTCGACACAATCTGTCATTCTATCCTCCTCAACAGACTAACCTCCATTGGCATCTCAGGTACTCCGTTAGACTGGTTCAAATCTCATCTCTCTGACCGCACTCAATTCATTCAGCTCAAATCCTTTTGTTCCCAGTCATCCCCCGTCTCCACGGGTGTCCCCCAAGGCTCTGTCCTCGGACCCCTCCTCTTCATCATTTACCTCCTCCCTCTAGATCACATCTTCCGTAAATTTGGTGTCCATTTTCACCGTTATGCTGATGACACACAGCTCTACCTGTCAACAAAACCAAACTCCACCCACCCACCCTCCATCCTCACCGATTGTCTCAATGAGCTAAATCACTGGTTTTCTAACAACTTCCTTCAACTAAACAGTAACAAAACAGAAATCAATCTTGTCTGTACCAAAAACTCTCTTTCAAAATCAGAACATCTTCTCATCCCCCTTAACAACTCCCTGCTATCCCCCTCGCCTCAGGTCAAGAGTCTTGGTGTCATCCTCGACACCACTCTCTCCTTCACTTCACACATCAACAACGTCACTCGGTCTGCCTATTTCCATCTCAGAAATATTAACCGTCTCCGCCCTTCTCTCACACCCCGCTCCACAGCCATCCTTGTGCACAGTCTTTTGTGACTTCTCGGATTGACTACTGCAACTCCCTTCTTTATGGCCTCCCCAACAAATCTCTCCAGAAGCTGCAATTGGTCCAGAACTCAGCTGCCCGTGTCATAACTCAAACCTCCTCCTATAACCACATCACTCCAGTCCTGCAGCAGCTCCACTGGCTCCCGGTTAAATCACGCATCGTCTTCAAAATTCTTCTTCTTCACTTTCAAAGCTATCCACAACCTTGCCTCTACGTACCTATCTGACCTCTTACACATCTCCATCCCCTCTCGCTCTCTCAGATCCTCCTCTTCACTACACCTCCATGTACCCTCTGCGCGCCTCTCCACCATGGGGAGCAGGACCTTCACCTGCTCTGCCCCTCATCTCTGGAACTCTCTACCCCCTGACTTAAGAAACACCACCTCTCTTTCTATATTCAAGACTGCTCTGAAAACACTTCTCTTTAGACTCGCTTATCCTTAACTCTGCTCCGTGTATTTTATATTCTTTATGTATTTTATATTCTGTATGTAATATATTCCTGTTGATCTTTGTTCTTACTGTAAAGTGTCCTTGGGTGTCATGAAATGAGCTTTTTAAATAAAATGATGATTATTATTATCATCATTATGATGATTATTATATTATTATGATGATTATTATTATATTATTATGATGATTATTATTATATTATTATGATGATTATTATTATATCATTATGATTATCATCATCATTATTATTATTATTATGATTATTATGATGATTATGATGATGATGATTATTATATTATGATGATTATTATATTATGATGATTATGATGATTATTATATTATGATGATTATGATGATTATTATGATTATTATTATGATGATGATTATTATGATTATTATTATGATGATGATTATTATTATGATGATGACGATGATGATGATGATGATGATGATGATGATGATGATGATGATGATTATTATGATGATGATGATGGTGTGTAGAGCTCGACTGGGGCGGCCTCACCTCTTGTGAAACGCGGCCAGCAGCCTGGGGTCCAGAATGTTCTCCTCGGGCTCCCAGCTGTTGTGCCTGAATAAAAAACAAACAAACAAAATGTAAATAACGTCATGAACCTGAATTAACTGAATAAAACTGATTGTTCTGAAACAAATCCACCGACTGACCCAGGAACAAACAAACAACATGAACTCTTCTGTGAAAGGATTTTATCCAAATAACAACAATTTGTTTGTTTCCTGCAAGATGTAAACGTTTGTAACTTCCTGGTTCAGAAACAGTGACGTCATCTTTACATTTAACAACCTGCGCTATTTAAATTAATCTCATAAACTCGAGTTGTTTATGTGGGCCGACAGCGGTTCTGTTCGGGTTCTGGCTCGGCTTAGACGGACTCAGCTGGTCTCGTCGGGACCGGTGCCGTCCGGACACGTCAGCCCGGTTCGGGTGTTCGGGTCCGGGCAGCGGGGTGAGCACCGGGCCGCCCCGGGCTTTGTTCCGTTAGCCTCGGAGGCTAACAGCTAGCACGGACTCACTTGGAGGACCAGCCGCTCCATTTCACCAGATACTCGAACTTTCCCTGCGGAGACACGCACAGTCAGAACCGGAGAACCGAGCCGGGCCTCTGCCGAACCGCGGGCGCAGCTGCTTACCTTCCTCTGCCGTTTGCTGAGGATACATTCAGCATCGAACACCTGCCCCACCGTCACCCCCTCCATTACTGCAGGTAGCGTTGAGCCCTGCCGGCCACCGTAGCCGCGCTGTCACTGACATATATGGTCATAAACATTTTACATCATCACGTTTTATTCAGTCACTTTTAAGAAAACTAATCCACGCGTCGGTAAAAAGATTGGATGAAAAATTACATTTTACAGCTTACTCGTGAAAATGTTAATTTCTACAGTTTTTTTTAAAGAAGTATCTGTAAATTATCAAACAGCAAAAAAGGTTGAATCATGTCATCTGTAATCAATCATCATGAACAACACGCAGTAATCAATCATCATGAACATCACGCAGTAATCAATCATCATGAACAACACGCAGTAATCAATCATCATGAACAACACGCAGTAATCAATCATCATGAACA